CTAATCTAATTAATTAATTCATCTAAAACTTTGTATGAAAAATAGAAAAAACTAAAAACTAAAAATAGAAAAATTGTGTCTATGCGCGCGCGCGTGTAGTGTGAGTGCGTGTGTGCGCGCGCGGCCGGCGGCGGCGGCGGCGCAGTGGATTGGAGGGAGGAGAGGCTGGGGGAGGGACTCACAGCACACGCGGGCGAGGTCGAGGCGACAGCGACAGCGAGGTCCAGGCGACGGCGATGGTGAGGCGAGGTCGATCCGAGGCGACGACGACAGCAAGGCGAGGGGCCGGACGGCGATGGCGCGGGACGGGGCGACGGCACGACGGCGACCGCGACGATGGGGACAGCGACGGCACGGGACGGGGGCAGTGACGACGCGGGACGGGCTTGGCGACGGGGGCGGCCACGAGGGGCGGCGGCGACGGGGCAGGGGAGAAGAAGAAAAGGGAGAACTGACGATTTTTTTTGAAGTGTTTTCTTATATAGAACCTACGTTTAGTACCGGTTGGAGCCATTAACCGGTACTAAAGGTCTGTTTTGACCAGGCGAAGCGGCGGGAAGCACACCCCCTTTAGTACCGGGTTTTGGCTACAATCAGTACTAAAGGCCCCCCCCTTTAGTACCGGTTGTAGCCACAACCCGGTACTAAAGGGGGTGCGCTGGTGCTGGTGCGGTGCGGGCAAGATTAGTCCCACCTCGCTAGCCGAGGGCGCCCCGCACCTGTTTAAAAGCCCCGGCACGGCTGCTGTATCGAACTCCTCTCTATAGCAGGCTTCTGGGCCTAACTCTGCCTCTTAGCTCTGTGGGCCTACTAGGCCCTGCGGGCCTGCATCCTGGCCCAATTACAGGTTGGGTTGCTGGTCGTATGCAGGCAGCTGTGGCCCAGTAGGTGGGCTTTTTTATTTAGTTTTTGTCTCAACAAAAATTTAGGTTTTTTCTTTTCTACTTTATTTATTTTCATTTATTTATTTCTGAATATTTTTTCTTTAGGTACAGAAATTATAAACTTTCTGTTAGTGCGAGTAGTTTTCAAATTTGAATAGTTTAATTTTTTTATTTAGTTTTTGTCTCAACAAAAAATTAGTTTTTTTTTTCTTTTCTACTTTATTTATTTTCATTTATTTATTTCTGAATATTTTTTCTTTATGTACAAAAAATTACAAACTTTCTGTTAGTGCGAGTAGTTTTCAAATTTGAATAGTTTAATTTTTTATTTAGTTTTTGTCTCACCAAAAAATTTAGTTTTTTTTTCTTTTCTACATTATTTATTTTTATTTATTTATTTCTAAATAATTTTTCTATAGTTACAAAAAATTACAAACTTTCTGTTAGTGCCAGTAGTTTACAAATTTGAATAGTTTAAATTTGAATTATTGGACGAACTAATTTGTAGATGAAGTGCATCCAGTTTTTGCTCATAAAATTTCTTCGCGTATCAAATACCAAAACACATAAGTACCCTAACTATTACAAAGATTCCCTCCATTTTGTTCGAAGCGGCACTTTCCAGATATATAAGTCTGGAAAGTCACTTTAGAAGAAAGTGATGGCCGTGAAGCCTATCACATGCTAGTGTGGGATATTTGAGTGTGAAACTTCTTCTTCGCGTGTGTCCCTTTGCGCCGTAACCATGGACAATCTTCATCATTTAACTGGATGCTCAGATGGAGCAATTTCATCAAACTTTTCATAATCTTCTGACATGTCTATCTTGTCATCCACTCCCACGATGTTTCTTTTCCCTGAAAGAACTATGTGGCGCTTTGGATAATCGTATGATCCATTCGCTTTCTTATCTTTTCTTTTTCTCGGCCTAGTAGACATGTCTTTCACATAGAAAACCTGCGCCACATCATTGGCTAGGACGAATGGTTCGTCTGCATACGCAAGACTATTGAGATCCACTGTTGTCATTCCGTATTGCGGGTCTTCCATTACCCCGCCTCGTGTCATATTGACCCATTTGCACCAAAACAAGGGGACCTTCAAACCACCTCCATAGTTAAGTTCCCATATGTCCTCTATGGAACCATAATATGTTTCCTTTCCCATGTTGGTTGTTGCATCAAAGCGGACACCACTGTTTTGGTTGGTGCTCTTCTTATCTTGGGCGATCGTGTAAAATGTGTTCCCATTTATCTCGTACCCTTTGAAAGTCATTATATTCGAAGATGGTAACTGGGACAGCAAGTACAGGTCATGTTCAATATCGCCATCATGCATGGCACGTGTCTGCAACCAACAAGCGAAAGTCCTCGTTTGTTCACGTGTAATCCAGTCGTCAGACTGCTCCGGGTGTTTGGAGTGTAGAAAATTCTTGTGTTTCTCCATATACGGAGCCACCAAGGCGAAATTCTGTAGAACTGTGTAGTGTGCTTCAGTGAGAGAATGCCTGTCCATACATATTATTTGATCCCCTCCTAGCGTGCCTTTTCCATTCAGTCTGCCCTTATGCCGCGATTCAGGAACACCAATCGGCTTAAGGTCAGGAATAAAGTCAATACAAAACTCAATGACCTCCTCATTTTCATGACCCTTCGAGATGCTTCCTTCTGGCCTAGCACGGTTATGAACATATTTCTTCAAGACTCCCATGAACCTCTCAAAGGGGAACATATTGTGTAGAAATACAGGACCCAAAACATTAATCTCTTCGCTAAGGTGAACTAGGATGTGCGTCATGATGTTGAAGAAGGATGGTGGGAACACCAACTCGAAACTGACAAGACATTGCACCAAATCATTTTGTAACCTTGATATAATTTCTGGATCGATTACCTTCTGAGAGGTTGCATTGAGGAATGCACACAGCTTCACAATGGCTAATCAAACGTTTTCCGGTAGAAGCCCCCTCAATGCAACTGGAAGCAGTTGCGTCATAATCACGTGGAAGTCATGAGACTTTAGGTTCTGGAACTTTTTCTCTGTCATATTTATTATTCCCTTTATAACTACAAGAAATATGTCAACTTGTGACCACCACTATTGGTCACTAAATGGTCACTATTTTCAATTTGTGACCTTTTTGTGACCAAAAACAGAAGGTCAAAAGCTGAGGGTCGTAAACTGACTATAGCGACCTTTCTTCTAGAATGGTCGTAGACGTTTATGACCAAAAAAAGGTCGTAGAATTTACGACCAATTATTTTGGTCACTAGCAATCCGACCACACCACGTCAGATCCACCGTGGCAAGCTGATGTGGCATAATTACGACCAAATGAAAAGGTCGTAAAATAGAATCAGCCCGGTCCATTTCAGCCGTCTACATGGGCCAAGCCCAATAATTCGGCCCGTTTAATTTTTTTCTCTCGTTATTTTGCTTATGTGTATGGGCCTGGCCCAATAATTTGGCCTTTTATTTTCTGGGAATGGAGCCTTTTTCTGATGAATTTTGTTTTATAGTCCACTATTGTTTTGGGCCACAGCCTTTTTGGTCTAGTTCGAATTTGGGCCTTGGCCTTTTTATTTTCTGCTATGCAGCCTTTTATAAAAAAATTCTTACAGTCATTTCCTTTTTTAGGCCCAAGCCTTTTTGGTCTAATTCTTGTTTGGGCCTTGGCCTTTTTAGAGCCCAAGTTCTCATTTTGCATAACTTCACATAAAATAAACAATAAACAGAAAGGCCCAGGTGCACAAGTGATCCACAAGCCCAGGTGCACAAGTGATCCACATAACTTCACAGAAAATAAACAATAACTCCACAACTTCACAAGTGATCCATAACTTCACATAACTTCACAGGTTCACAAGATCACATAACTTCACAGGTTCACAAAATGCAACAGCCTTAACTTCACATGTTCAAACTAGGTAGCAATGCAACAAAATGCTCAAAGAGAAACTGCACAGCCATCAAACTAGACAGCAATGCAACTACCTTAGCAGCACAGCCATCAAACTGCCTTAGCTCCAAAGAGAGCCATCAAGTGGGCTAACTTCTCTTCCTGTTCTTGAGACTTCTTGCGCAGTAGCTCAAGTTCCTTGTCGCGTGCAGCTTCAGATTCTTCCGCCTTCATCTTGATTGCCGCCAATTCTTCTTGCACCAGGTCAGCTTGAAGCTCGGACCTCTGCAGCTTCTGCTCAAGGTCACGAACATGAGCAAATACTTCAGCAGTTGCTTTGCGGGAGTTGTTCCTAGATGACTGGAGCCCAACATTCGTGAGGAATGTGCTTTGCTTGACAGATTTCAACAGCACTTCTTCGACAATTTGAACAGTAGACTTTGGCTCTTCACCTTCTGGTACCGGCGCGTCCTTCATTTCTTCCATCTCAAGCTAGCATATGGAGGAAAATGATAGGCATTTGTGGAGAAACCAAACCAGCACACAAATGGACTACTTGAAGTAACCAAACCAGCACACAAAATCTATACAAGAAGATGATGACTAGTGACCTGGAGACATGCAATTGGAACAATATGATCGCTTCATTAAGCCTAGAATGGTGGTTCTATATAAGATGGCTTCCTGACTAATATTCAGATCAAATTTCATCATGTCATAAAAAATGCAACAAATAGCATCAAAGCATGGAACATAGCATGGAACTATCTTCATTAAGTTGATCTAATATTTTCATTAAGCCTAGCATGGAACTATCAAACAACATCAAAGCATGGAACTGGCTCCGAATCAAACATCATCAAATCATCAAAGCATCAAAGCTGGCATGGACAAAGCTAGCATCAAAGCTGGCATGAATCAAACAGGGCATGGACAAAGCATGGGGTGACTTACTATAGCAGTCTTGACTGGCTCTGAAAACCCGTGCTTCTTGCTGCTGTGGGTGGCCTTAAACAAGTCAATCGCAGACAGCTCCTCACCCTTATGCTCTTCTTTCTGAAATGTTTTTCAACAAAAATCAAAATGTTATTCAGCAAGAATCAGAAATGTTATCCAACGAGGATCAAATGGTAAGGTCTCTAGAGAAAAGTTCTCACAGTGGCAAAAATGTGTGCTGTGTAGTGCCTAGAACCAGTTCTCTGATTGTACATGACTTTTTATCGATTCATCTTGTTTGACACACAGGTTTCCTACAAAAAAGCATACTGTCAGCATGATCTAGCACTAACATATCATGTGTAGAACATAAAGCATCAAACAAAGCAGAGACAAACCTTGTGTCTTGGGGTAGACCACATCTCCACCAGAGCTTGCCATTCACCATCCGTCAGATCAGGTACCGGAGACTTGATGCTGACTTTATTTGCGGCTACGGTATCAAAATACTTCTTCTTGATCTGATGGCGTCTGTTCCTTGAATTTTTTTGCAGAATATCTTTGCACGCGGTCTTGATGGTTTTTGAGTCCGTGTTCATCTCAAAATTTGCCTACCAAGAAAACAAACAAGGTAGGAACAATATTAGTGATCATGCATAGGTGTAACCGAAAATAGATAGCAAATTAACTTTGAAACAAGTAGCTTACAGCAACTTTCCCAATGTAGTTCTCCAATAGACTAGCATTTTTTTTGTATAGCTTGAAGTGAGGAAGAACCGGAAGATGGTTTCTTGCAACGAGTCCACACTCAGAAGCAAGCTTTGCTGACTGCAGAGGCTTCTCTGGACGCTTCATCCCTTCGGCAATTTGGATAGGCACCTTGCTACCAAGCGACTTGGTGATCCTCTCTAGCCCTTTGCCCTTTCTAGGTCTAGTCTTGGTAGTCATTGCATCTGAAAATGAAATTGAACTCATAAATTAGAATAGTAATCGACAAATGCAGGAATCGACAAAAGCATACATGATCATTCCATTTGGAAAATGCACTAGTAAAAGATAGCATTGCAAAGGTCAACTTGCCTGATTGAAGCACAAGCTGCTGTTCTTCTTCATTGATGACATCATTCCTGTCAATAGAAGGTGCAACAGGGCTGAGGTCTGTGTGGACAGTGCCTGCTTCATCAATGCAGATGGTTCCTCCTTCTAGGCAGACAGTGCCACTTCCATCCATGCTGAGAGTGGTTCCTTCATCCATGGGCGGCAACTCATCACCCATTTGCACCGAGGTCTCAGAGTCCATGCGCAGCAGAATTTCCTGATGGTTCGTCGCAGTCGCCATCTTTGCTTTCTGCCTTGTGACTCTATCAAGGACAGGTTCATCATGTCCAGGATACTCTTTTTTTGTCCTGGAGCTGGGGCCATCACCCTTCCTGGAGGCATTGCAGCAGATGTTTCTGAGCTCTTCTTCTTCCTGCTGACTGTCTTCTTAACACCAGGCCTCTTCGTCCTAGATTCCTTCAGTGCCTCGTATAAACAACACGGAAAAAAGCATTAGATCACAAGAGAAACATGTGAGCACAAGGAATAACATAGCATAAAAGAACCCCAGCCCTCCAAGCAAGACAGAGTTTGCACCTTAACAGTCTTGCTCACTACAACATCATCCACTTCCTCTCCATCAATAACTTCATCCTCCTTAGGATTGCACTCTGGGTCATCGTTGATAACTCCACTATCTTCTTGAACCTCATCACTTCTACCTTCTCGTACATCATTTGTTTTCCTAAGCATCGATGCTATTGCACCGATGTCAAGGGACTGGAACAGCCGATTGTTCCTCATGATATTTCTAGCCCTAACCTTCTCGTACTCGGTGAGAGGCTCTTCTTTGCATGATAAAGGAAACGTAACTATTAGGTGAATTTTTGGAATGCATGGACAGACATCCAAACATATCTTATGAAATTTTATTATCATTTAATCCTAGTTATTCATGTAAGGAAGACTAACAGCACACAGGCACAATTAAGCTAGCTTATTCAGATTGGAGCAATACATTTCACTTAGCATATTAAGACACATATTTTATGAAACTAACAGTATAACCACAAGGAGAAAGTTGCATACCAACGGTTGGCCTCACGTTTGACCTTGTCATCCTTGCCATGGATGATCTTGAGGTGGTGCTTGCAAACTAGAATAAACAACAATCAGATACAATAGGGATAAAGTAAAATGATGCACTTGTATCAATAAAGGAAAGCATTTGGACCAACATGCACATACATGTAATACATGTGAAACAAACTTGATGGATCAACAATACAGTGATCTAGTGTTATTAATTAAGCAAACATGTAAGTGTACTAAACAAGCATGCATGTACACTGGAAAGATATGAAGCATCTCTTAATATCTTCGCTACATCAAGCAGGAGGTAGTAATGTACATCAAGAAATCTTCCTAGTGCCTCATTTAAAGTACACAACAAGCAAGCAAAGTGCTAGTAGTACTACTGATGCAAACCCTAACCATATGTATGCTAGCAAGCAACTGAATTGAAGCAAACTATATATGTGAAGCAATGCATTAGCAGTAATATATGTGAAGCAAACTACATCAAGCTAAGTGAATTAAGGTTGTGGTACCACAGACAAGAACAGAACTCACATGTATTACAATTATATATAGTTGGATACAAATACAGTGCACACAAATTATACTTCCGTAATGTGGATTAGCAAAAACAGCTATTTACAACAATTACTTTTATGTTTTAACTTGCAATTTTATCCATGTACCTGCAATCATCTATAAGCAAATGAAGTACTCAATTGTTTTCCCTAATGGAGGCAAGCTTATGCATTCAGAGCAACTGATCGCCCAATAGTTGATGAATAAAGAAGCAAGCATTGTTAACAATAATAGTAGGCCTTGAAATCATGCTTATGCATGCAATTTAGAAGAGTATATCATGAGGACCTTCAAAACAACCAGATGTTGCCACTGGTAAAGCATGAAACAACTATTGATTATGTTGCCTCTACACAGCAAACATGGCTACAGACTGGAAGAACACAAATTCAGACATTTCGACAACTAGAATCAACCTTTTATATTAAAACACCAAAAATTATCTAGCACCAATATGGTATATATTAAAACTAGTCATACTGCCTTAATACACCAGGAATTCCAATACCACAGTAAGTACTAAGCATTCTCTTGTTCACTGGAAATAAGAACACAAGCTTCATGCACATATCATATAAGAAGAACACTGCTACAAACCCCATGCACAACATAAAAGAAGTCTTCTAGTTGAACAATCAGGATGGGCGTGCAACAAGAACCCTAACCCCATCATGTTCTAGCCATGAACCAGAGGGAGATCATCCCCACGAACCCCATGAAACCTAACACTGACCCCATGAACCCTAACCCTAACCCCATGAACAAGACGGAGATCCTAACCCTAGAAGATCCTAACCCTAGAAGATCCACCGAACCAGAGGGGAGATGGATCCAGCAGAGGAAGGGAGATGGATCCACCAAATATCGAGGGGAGATGGAGAAGTACCTAGGGGCGGATATTGTTGATGATGCAGCGGTGGTCGTCGTCGATGTAGCCGCCGCCGTCATCTGTGTAGTCGATGTAGCCGTCGTCGTCGTCGATGTAGTCGATGTAGCCGTCGTCGTCGTCGATGTAGTCGATGTAGTCGATGTAGCCGCCATCGTCGTCGATGTAGTCGATGTAGTCGATGCAGGCAATGTAGCCGTCGAGGGGAGGGGATTCGTTATCGGGGAGGGCGGCGCAACGTGGCGTGGCGGCACGGAGGAG